CCCCTTCCCTTAACTCAGTCTTATTATATCTGTTACATCAACAATTCACAATATCTTTATCAGTAACTGTTATACAAGTATACACTTTAAGACAAAGAAGCACACATTAACGGCACATCTGTGCTATGCTAGTACTTCAGNATTCTATCGCACACTGGTATCTTCGGTCAGCCACGTATCGCTTGATAGCATGAAACAAATAAAAGGAAAGTGCTGTGATCAAAATATTCCCGTTTGCGTCCAATACATATGTTCATACAAGTTTAAATTGTTTTAGGTAAATGTTCAAAATGTGTCCCGTGACACAATGCAAATGTCAACAAGAATAATGCCAAAGGTACAGACAACAGTACAAGATAAGCAACATAATAAGAATATTATATATTATATATTATAGATATAAGATAACGACCAAGGAAAATCACATATTTTTTAATTAAGAAATATTCCAGTAATCTGTACCAGTGCCTTTAACATCTGTTACATGCAGCAATGCACTCCGCCCCCTCCTGCTCAACCATCTTTGAATCCGCCTCTGCATGTTGTGCTTATCTTTTTTAAATAAACATTTCACATCGTACAACCAATGTTGGGTGTACAGCAGAAATGGTCTACCGGCCCATGGGACTCGTTTGTCCATTGCCATCTCCATGACATTGTCAGTAGTTATCGCTAATGTTTCTGCAAATATGTTTTAAACAAGATAATCAAAGTCAAATAAGAAAAATTTTATTATGGGTATTGTGAGATATTATCCTATTTTGATTTAGAGTAACTGAGATTCTACTGTCATTTTGGTGTTAAACTTCGCACATTGCTGCTGACTTTGGTAATTATAATCTATCTGAGGTTTCTGTGTGTGTCATCATGTCGGCTGCTTAAGTTTTTTTTTCAAAATGATAGGTATCATTACACTTGATTCTATACTTTAACTGATATTTATACCCTAGCACAAGAAGTTATAATGTTATAAGAAGTTTATAACTTCTTGCCTAGCACTATATTAGTGGGACCCAAATAAAAGAGACATTCAGTGTAATCGATAATAGACATATTTCCATTCGTGTTTTATTAAGTTAACAGTAGTCTGCCTTTTATATAGAAAGGTACGTCAGAACGTAGCATTAGTACTGCGTATATGTATAACTGATGATAGCACATATATATTTGTAGTTTATGCAAGCTAATTGACAACCGGCTAGACAGAGATACACAATTGCATTTGAAAAAAAAAATTTTAAACTTTCCACTGGAGATCACAATTAATTAAAAAAAGTTTATACAAATTAATTTGATAACACATTTGTACAGCCATCAACATTAATAGTGTCTGCGACGCAACAGGCAATGCTGTCCACAAGTACAACCAAACTGTTCTTGGGTATTCTGGGCCACGCTTGGGTAAAGGCCTGAGCCAATTCCTGAAAACTGGTTGATGCTGGATCTCCTCTTTGGACTGCCCTGCCCATTATGGGGTTCACATTTGGGGTTTAAGATGTTTGTTCCACGAGCAGAATGTGGTTCTGGTGGATGAAACCCCTCAACTGGAGAGAAGAGTGAGATGTTGCGTTCTCGTGTTGCAGATGGAAGTTGTTCTGGAGCATTCTTTGACCGAATGGTACCAAATAGTTTTGGAGGATGTATCTGCACATTACGTTTTGGATCAGCGGACCCAACACGTGGACAGCATTGAAGCAAAATGCTTCCCAATGTACAACTTCCGGCAGCCACGGTTTCTTAATCATTCTGCAGAAGAAATCATTTTCTGACAAGACAATGTCAGCTAGTACGAACTTTTGCTCAATATTGCGAACAAGACAATCATATCGCCCAGCAACGAAACTATCACCTTTATTATAGAACCACCATCCAGTATTATGTGCTCACATTTGACCTAGGTAATGCCAAATGGTCAGTGAATCCTACAGGAGAGAAAACGGGTAAAATACCCCCATATACAGAGCAAATGGTTTATGGACGGTGTGACAACCTGTTTGTTTAAGCAATAGTGTATAATTGTCAAAACACTTCTGAAATGAAACTTATCACAACATATTGACTCGTTGAACTAATACAGAATATCAATACAATAATTATATACGGTGGCTTTTGTCAGTGGGAGGCTAAAACTGTCCAAACTCAAAGTTGGCAAAGCTTTTGTGCTTACTTTTGAGACGCAGTGTTTAAAGATTCTTTGGGAATCACTACTCAGTCGGCTAAATCCTGTAACTGACTGACCAGGGTCTGACATCTATCGGTAGAAATATGTACAGTCATGCTATTAAGACTGGTTTGCTCTTTCCCTGTTCATGTTACGTATCCAGGCAAGAATTAAGTAAAACAGAGTTCCCGCATTCCGCATGATAACTTGCGTGAAGGAGAAGAGTGAAATCAGAAATAAAGGCAGACTGGAGAATACAAGCTAACAGAGTTTACATCGGATGTCTTTCTGGGCCCGGTTTCGTCAATGTATAAATACTATCCATGGTATCCTCTGGATAGTTATTCTCTGTATAAATTTGTGTTTGACAAAGGTTGTGTAAACGGCATGATAGCAGATTTATCCCACCTATTTTGAGTGGACAACTGTATCCTCTGGATAAGCTGATTTATCCCCTTGATAACGCTGTCCACTTTTGTTTATGTCACTTGTACGGTTTGAACTGGGAAAGATGAGTAACTTTGCAGGATATTTAGCCAAAATATTACTTTGGGACATTTAAAAAAGCAAATTAAAGCAGTACGAAATAACCATGTTTTGTGCGTCACTTTTGCGTAGCTTTCTGAAACGGGATTCTTAACGCCTAGTTTTACCCTTATTGGTTCAAAGTGAACATTAGGATTCTCGCCCCTTTTTCTAGCCTCGTATGACGGTTAATATTGGATTACCTAGTTGGCACCTGGAGTGCAACTTGTCATAGGGCCTTGGATTTATCATTTAACATCATTTTTTGTGACTGTCACATTGTGTTTAGACCCCATTCCCATAGACACCATATGTATACATAAATCGATTCAACTCCAAATCAGCCCCGAGGCCTCATTGCGAACAGGGGACTATCAGATCATCGGGTCAAATATGGCTGATCCACTTGAATACTTGTTGTGTAATCCCTGCAGGAAATCAATTCAGTGTCTAATCCTGAATTAAGCAGCAAGTTTTTTGTGGGTTGCCATATTTGATCTGGGGATCTGTTAGCCCACTGTTCTGAATATGCTCTAAGAAACAAACACAAAAGCACCAAAGGTACTATGAAAGCAGATAAATATTTTATTCCTAAATTACTGGTATCCAATTCATGCTTCAGATTGTGCCCGCTTGGAAAGAAGCTAATAAACTTGACAACTAAACAGTCGCCCAGCATTATGCACACCTTGTAGAACTACATACTTTATTTTGGGAAGGTTTTCAAGTTTGTCTTGGAGTAGTTCAATTTTAATCTCTGTCCAGAGCAGAAGAAACTGTCTGGCACTTTTTAAAAAATTGTTCATGAAACTAAACCACACTGCAACACAAACATATGGCATGGAATATTTTTTACCTACTCTATTTCTATATTCTTTGGAGAATGGCATGGAATATTTTTTACCTACTCTATTCATATCTTCTTTGGAGAAATAAGAAAACACTTCCCAAACTCAGTCACATTGCAATAATTATATTAAAATATTAGTGAAATGAAAAGAATTTGTATACAATGTCATTTCCCCTTCCCTTAACTCAGTCTTATTATATCTGTTACATCAACAATTCACAATATCTTTATCAGTAACTGTTATACAAGAATACACTTTAAGACAAAGAAGCACACATTAACGGCACATCTGTGCTATGCTAGTACTTAAGATGTGTTAAGTTTTATAATAATATATGGCTTAAAATGAGATGATAACTATACAATGGATTGGAGCACATACACCTAGCAGATGAAAAAATGACAGTTTAACTGACCTCATTATCCTTTTTCACAATAAGAATAATACTATTAATATTAATAATGATAAAAATAATGCTATTAATAATATCAGGTGACAAAATATATAGTATAAGTGTTGTAGACATACTTCCTAAATTTGGTTA